ACTGAAGTGATTTAGAGAGCTGAGGACCAAACCTCAAACCCCATCTCTTCTGATTAAATGTCAATCACTTTAAAAGTCTGCATTATCAATGCGCAGTGATAGGATAGCACAAACCTTTAATCCCAACACTTGGGAGGTAGCAGAGGTAGACAGATCTCTGTGAGTTTGAGGCCAACCTGGTCTACATAGTGAGTCCCAGGACAACCAGGGCTACACAGAGAAACCCTGTTTTGAAAACCAAAAATAAGAAAGCTATGCATTCTCAGGCTGGGAGTGTGGCTTAGTTAATGGAGCTCTTGCCTAGCATGCATAAAGAGCTGGGTAATCCTAGACATGCATAAAACAGGCAAGCATAGGGAATACTTAGTCACCTGGGACTCCTCTTGGTTTGGGCCATAACTTCACACATGTCCCTCTTCTAACAATGCAGTTGACAACCTAGGACCCCACCTGCATCTATGAAAGTGGAATGTTTCTCTGCCCCTAACAGCCATTAAAAACCTCTTTCATGGACTGTTTTTTTTAATTATTTATTTAACTTTATTTTATGTGAATTGTTGTAAAGGTGTCAGATCCCCTGGAACTGGAGTTACAGACAGTTGTGAGCTGCCATATGGGTGCTGAAAATTGAACCTGGGTCCTCTGGAAGAGCAGTCAATGCTCTTAACCGCTGAGCCATCTCTCCAGCCCGTCATGGACCATTCTTATTCAAGAATATTCCTAAATATTTGAGGATAGAGAGTGAGCAGACCCATCCAGCCTAGACTTGTTGAAGGTAGATGTAGAGTAAGGCAAATTGTGTTCTGAGTAAAGTCTGAGGGAAATCCCTAAGTACTATGCAAAATTAGGCACAGAAAAAAATTAAAGCCAGATGCATCATGGGAAGGAATGCACAGCAGAAAAAAAAAGTATATGTAACCCAGACCTGTAAATTAAAATAGAGAAATATCCAAATTTTATATGTGTGGGTGTTTGCATTTTGTTTTGTTTCATTTTGAAGTTTTCAGATTTCCTGCTTCAAGATCTGTCTCTAGGATCCTTCATAATCTAGAAAACTCCTGGCAGTCAGGGGCTGTAAAACCAAGGACAGCACAGCACACCTACAGGTCTGAAGAACAGGCCCTGGAGTCAAACCTCTGAGCCTAGCAAGGGAGAACTGGTATCCTGCACTGCCCCCAAGAGTCAAAGGTAGCTAACTACCTAGATCAGTGGTTCTCAACCTGTATGTAGGTCGTGACCCCTTTGGGGGTTGAATGACAGTTCCACAGGGTTCACTTGAGAACATCAGAAAACACAGATATTTACATTACCATTCATAACAGTAGCAAATTTTACAGTTATTGAGTAGCAATGAAAGTAATTTTATGGTTGGGGGTGTGGTGACAACATGAGGAACTGTACTAAAGGGTCACACCATTTGGAAGGTTGAGAACCTCTGGTCTAGAATCTGGGTCCAGAAGCCCTAAACCTGGTGAGATTGATGTCCAGCAGTTCTGTTAAAGGACAAAGATGCACCATTGCCCCCCTCCTCAGGAGTCAAGGCAAACAAGCCTGTCAATCACCGCCTAGACAGAATCAAGTACCTTGGGAAAAGCTGCTTGTTCTGGATACCCACAAAGTAGTCGTCCTTTCGGCTGGTGTCCACTCTCAGCCCTTAGGAGTGTGCTAACCTCTACTTTTTGATGAATTCTGCCCATATTTCATGCTGTGCTATGTGTCTTGTCTTTCGCTGAAGATAACAAAGTGTGAGGAGCCAAGGTGAGTCCAGCCTGAGATTACATTAATACACACTGCACAGGTACACCTTATCTCCAAGATAAAGAAACAAACAAAACCTACACACAAAGTTTTGCTAAAAATTGCTGGCTGGTAGTGGCTCAAGCCTTTAATCCCAGCACTCGGGTGGTGGAGGCAAGCTAATCTCTGAATTCAAAGTCAGACTGGTCTACAAAGTGAATTCCATCCGGGACAGCCAGGGCTACAGAGAGAAACCCTGCCTAAAAAGTTTTGCTAAAAATAAATTTCCTATCCCTCTTCAGTCCACAAACCTACCAAAGAGATCCCAAAACAAAACCAACTTAAAGAGACCATGATCATTTGTACGCCAGGGCTGATACTGTCACTCCTGGCTACCCACCCATTCAGCCATTTCACTCAGCTCTGATAACCCTTCTTTGGGATGATAAATGCCTTCTGCGTGAACTTCCTTCCAGTGAAAAAGGAGAACAACTGTGGAACTAAAAGAGCTCAAAAGACCTCAGGGCTCTCGTTAGACTCCCACCATAGCAAATAAATAGCCGGCATGTGCCAGGAGCTCACCTGCCAAAGGTGGCAAGTCCTCTGCAGTGTGTTCACACACCACACAGGAGCTGAGCTCACTGAAAGTGGTGGAAGTCACAGTAACAGGGTACCAGCTGCCTGCTTTCTAATACAAAATGACAGGACATGGTGTCACTCACCCTTTCTACAGACCTGCATACCGTGTGTGTGTACCACTGGGACACACTCACACTAGTCACTCATCCCTATCATGCCCTTCTTCCTGGTTAACACATCAGTTGACTGAAACCTGGAAACACCGGCTTCCCTTGGGCAGGATATGGAAACCCCAGGAGCAGGGCCACCTCAGCACTCAAAGGTACTTGCTGAGCCACCCCAGATCTACCATATGTGTTTATTAATTATTTCTGTCATAAAGTGTTCCCCCAAAAGCAAGCCAAAGTTAAGGCTAGGGTTGTAGCTCAGTAGTGGAACATGTGCTCTGAATCTATAAAGCCCTAGGTTCAGTCCCTAATGCCCCCAAATTAATTAATCAATTAATTTAAAAATTGACCATTACTTCCAGCAATTAATTTGTCTGGGATTTTGTTTGTTTGTTTGGTTGGTTAGCTGGTTTGGTTTGGTTTGGCTTGTATTTTGTTGTTGCTGTTTTGTTTTGGTTTTTGGTTTTTGTTTTTTGGTTTTCAAAACATGGTGTCTCTGTGTAGCCCTGGCTGTCCTGGAACTCACTTTGTAGACCAAACTGGTCTCGAACTCACAGAGATCAGCCTGCTAAAGGCATGAGACACCACTGCCCAGCTTGTCTGTCTTTTGTAATCCTTGGAAAAGAGCTCCATCACAAACTCCTGTTCATGTCCCATTTATGAGCAGTATATTAGAGTCTACAAAATAGCCTGTGGCGGCAACATACCTGTAAGTTCAATGCTCACGAGGGTGAGAATGAATTTTGAGTTAAGGCCAGCCTGGTAATGTGTGTGTGTGTGTGTGTGTGTGTGTGTGTGTGTGTGTGTGTGTGTGTGTGTGTGTGTGTGGCGGGGGAGGGGTGTCCTGCTTAAAAAAAAAAAAGTCTGCTCTCACACCAGTCTTTCTTGGGCTTCAAAACAAATTTTCAAGAAGGATCCCTGGCAAACAAGCACCTCCCACCTCTTCCACGGCTGCCCCCGCCACTTGCCCACCAAGTCCAGACCTATCTTACACTACCTACCTTACACTTGGAGGAATAACACGTCCTGCCTCCCGGTCCCTGCCTCTATGGTGCTAGGGGTTACAGCTGTCACCAGTCACCAGTTGGTGTATCAAGCTGTGCCAGCACTCTACTGAGCCTCGCATCCATCCCACCCCCTAAAATACCAACGGGTTCTCTTTTCCAAAGTTGTGCTCTCTCCAAACAAGGAATACCATTTTTTGTATGACTTCAAACACTAGTAAAAGTTGTTGAGCAAAATGGGCCAAAGGAATATGTGTTAGATAAATGTCCAAGGTGTGTATGTGTGTATATATATATATATATATATATATATATAGTAACACCATCCATTTCTGGAAGACCTGGAAGGAAAGCGAGCCTAAACGCGAGGCCTTTACTGTACCTACGCTCTATCCTACGCAAGATTTTACACTTTTAAAACCTTGTCAGTGTAAACTGTTGACCAATACTAAAATGTTCAGCTCCTAGGTCTGCAGCTGAAGCTCACTAAGGTGATAGCGCAGGGGCGCGGGTGACTGCTGCGCGAGGAGGGGGCGGTTGCTAGGCAACCAGAGACGCAAACAACAGGCATTCTCAGACTGAGACTTCGAGGGCTAGAGGGCGAGCGGGTAGACCAGGTGAGGGGACTCGGGTGGTGGAAGCCTCCTATGACCGCCCTCCTAAACCAGACCTCTGGTGGGTGTATTGGCGGAGCCTGAGCAGGGGGAAGGGTCCTGCTGGGCTCTAGACTCTGACCCCAGCTCCTCCTACCCGGCAGCCAGCCTGCTACTCCTCCGTACTGGGGCGGGGCAAGGGACCTGGCCCCCTCTCTACCCAGGTAGCTGGTTCCAGCCTGGGTGCGCCAGCCCAGTTATACCATCCTGGAAAGGAAACAACGCTTTTTGCCCCAGATCCCCCGTGTGCCTGGCCCACAGCCTGGGAAAGAGTAATTGTTGGAAGTAGTGGTGGAAACAGGATTAGGGGTGTGTTCCCTGCCATCCCTTCACTAGGCATTTGGCGACTCCTAAACACACACACAGACACACTCACACACAGAGACACACACAGACAGACAGAAACACAGACACACTCACACACACACAGACAGACACACACACACACTCACACACACAGAGACAGACACACACACACTCACACACACACAGACACACAGACACACATACAGACACACACAGACACACACAGACACACACACACACACACACACACACACACACACACACACACACACACACACACGAGACACACGGGCTCTCTTCTTCCCTCTACCCCTGGATCTCCAGGCTCCAGGACTTTGTGCCTGAAGATGGACCACTGAGGAAATAATAGCTGATTGTTAATTCTTCACAAGAAGTTGAGCTGGGGACTGAATTGGAAAGATTCCCAGCAGACTTCGGGGAAAGGGCTTAGCGCTAAGAGGACAGGATCCGGGTCCAGAATGGCACTTTGCTTTTCTTCTGCAGGTGGTGACCTGGAACAGGCCTAAGGGTTTCAGACCCTCATCTCCGTAGCCATGGCTACACTCAGCGCCAAGCCCAGCAATCGCTACCAGCTCTCGGACTGGCTCACCAACAGCTACCTGCTGTCCACCAATGCCGAGAGGCAGCGGGAAGCTTCCCACCAGATCCGCCAGGAGGCCCGGATCCTCCGCAATGAGACCAACAACCAGGTTGGGGGACCGCTCAACCCCATGGGCCATGGGAGGACCCTCAACCACAGACACCCATTTTATTTGGTTCTGTCTCTTCCAGACTGTATGGGATGAACATGACAACAGGGTTCGCCTGGCAGAGAGGATCGAGACTGTCAACCGGTGGAAGGAGATACTGGACAAGTGTCTGACAGATTTAGATGCTGAGATCGACACCTTGACACAGGTGTCGACACCCGGGCTGGGTAGCAAGCAGTAGGCTCTGATGCAAAGGCCTGCCCCCCCTTCCAGGTCTGGGCTGCCATGCTCCCCTCAGGCAAAGTGACGCCCCACCAGTCACTGTGCCCTTCCTTTCTAGACGAAAGAGTCTGCTGAGCAAAACCTGCAGGCCAAGAACCTGCCTCTGGATGTGGCCATTGAGTGCCTTACCCTGCGGGAGAGCCGGCGAGACATTGACGTGGTGAAGGACCCTGTGGATGAAGAGCTGGTTAAGGAGGTGGGAGTCATTGAAGCCACCAAGAAGGCCCTGCAGGAGAGGATCAGCCAGGCCTTCCAGCAGCTCTGGTGAGGCAGACAAGGGCCTGAGCACACTGGTGCATTGGAGGCATCACGGGTTTTGTGGGCAAAGAGCAACTGGCTGGATGCTGTTTTCTGTCCCTCCCGGCCTACTGGTTGTTTACAGCATGCTTTCCACGGCCTGATCCTTGTTAGGATCCTGCTCTAGTCAGCACCTGAGTGTCAGTGTGCTCACAGGCATGATGCCACGTCCCCCCACGCTTTGTCTTCAGTGGCACCTGTGCTGTCTGTCATCCTCACACCCCTCAAGTGTCCTCACAAAAGGCTGCTTCTGGGACCCCCAGATTACTCCAATGCCGTCTCCTTCCCCAGCCTCTTGCAGGATATCCGGCATCAGCTCTGCTGTGACCACCGGGACAAAATGGAGACACTGGATATCGACAGGGGCTGCCTCTCTCTCAACCACACTTCCCCAAACCTGTCTCTGAAGATTAACCCCACACGAATCCCCAAAGAGTAAGGAGATTATTTCAGTCAGCCCCTCCTCTGACCCTTGGAGGCCGCACCCTGCAACAACGAACACTGTCTTGTCTCCACAGCTCCACCACTCTGAAGCAGTGGGATGACTTCACTAGGTTCAACAAGGACCATGCAGACACTGAGATAAAAGCATCCATAGAGCTGAGAGAAGCCATTGTCCTGACTATTGCTCAGGTGTCTAAGCCCACTTTACCTTTATCTTTCCTTCCCTCCTGACCTCTGGTTGAGGGTTTGTACAGTGAGCTCAAGTGGCAGGAGAAAAACGTGAGTCTCTGCTGTCCCCTCCCTGCCTGCTGTGAGGCAAGGGCAGGAGGTGGGGGCCCGAGGGTCAGTCTTTCTGGTAGAGAACAGTATGTCTGCCACAGACCTTAGAGGAGATAGCCCAGCTGCAGGAAGACATTCGGCGCCTGGAGGAGGACCTGCGCAGAAAGATGATGAACTTGAAGCTCGTACATACCCGGCTGGAATCCAGGACCTACCGGCCCAATGTGGAACTCTGCCAGGACCAGGTACAAGGGTCCCTAGTGGGAACCACCCTCCTCTGCTAAGAAGTCCTCAGTATTACCCCTGCACAGGTTCCTGGTGGAGCAAACCAGCATTCTGGCCCAGGGCAGCCCCAAGGCCAGCAGAAGGGCAGTGTGGCTAGACTACAAACCCCATCCTGCCCCTCTGCCTCCAGACACAGCATGGCCTCGTTGACGAAGTTCACCAGTTGGAGGCAACCATCAGTATCATGAAGCAGAAGCTGGCCCAGACACAGTAGGTTTAGAGAGTGGGCAGGAAGGGTGGGGGACATTGCCCGACCTTGGGACCTTACTGCACGCTGGTCCCTCTGGGCTTTACTCTGGTGAAATGGCCGGGCCCTTGAAGCCTCCTCATACAGGGCTCTCAATGCCTCCCCTGCAGGGATGCTCTGGATGCCCTGAGCAAGCACCTGGCCCGGCTGCAGGCTGACATTGCATGCAAGACCAACACCATGCTGTTGGACACCAAGTGCCTGGACACCCGCCGCAGGCTGACAGTGCCGGCTGAGAAATTTGTGCCCCAGGTGGACACCTTCACGCGCACGACAAACCGTACACTGAGTCCGCTCAAAGTCTGCCACCTGGAGCTAGTCTAGCTTTGCTGGCTGAGGGAGGAGGGAAGGATGGGTGGGAAGTGAGGAGGGGCAGTGAACCTAATAAAGATGGAGTTCTTTAGCCAGGCTCTTCTCTGTTACCCATGAGGGTGTCATGAGACGCTCCACTCGGGGGAGCCTAGGCTTCATTCGGGTCAAGAGTCCAAAGAGACTCCAGAAGAAGCGTGGGTGCAAAGACAGGGGTTTTCGCCCGCGGGCCACAGTGGCTTGGAGTAGGCAACATTCTTGCTCAGGTTCTTTTCAAAAGATCCTCCACGACGG